CGAGTTGCCCCCAACACCCAGCCTTCTGCCCTGCACCTCCACACACACCCCAGCCCTCTGCCCTGACCTCGAGTTGCCCCCAACACCCAGCCTTCTGCCCTGCACCTCCACACACACCCCAGCCCTCCGCCCTGAACCCCCACCCCTCCCACACCCAGTCTTGTGCCCTGCACGTCCACACACACCAGCCCTGTGCCCTGAACCCCCCCACATCCCAGCCCTTTGCCCTGACCTCGAGTCCCCCCGCCAACACCCAGCCCTCTGCCCTGAACTCCCCACCCAGCAGGCTGGCAGCGTAAGATCAGCATTTTAATTTAATTTTAAATGAAGCTTCTTAAACATTTTGAAAACCTTGTTTACTTTACATACAACAATAGTTTAGTTATATAATATACACTTAGAGAGAGACCCCTTCTAAAAAAATGTTAAAATGTATTACCGGCACGCAAAACCTTAAATTAAAGTGAATAAATGAAGACTCGGGACACCACTTCTGAAAGGTTGCCTACCCCTGGCATAAGCAATTCAAGCACACTAGTCTATAATGACCTGTAAAGTGGTGTGTGTTGTTTGTTTGGGAATTTTATTTTTAAACACACATTTACACATAAAATTAAGAGTCTAAGCAAAAATCTGCTACATTAATTAATTTAGCACCTTCCTAAGTACAAAGACCACACTAATCCAAATCATACTAGTGGGAAAATATGTTTTAGAGCTTAACATGTAACTATCTGAGGGCTGGTAAATACAAACTGAAATAACTAAATCAGTTGTAAGCCTTTTATTATTCTGGTGCAACTTTCTACGTGGACCCTCATATCAATTTAAACCTGGCTATATTGATTAGTTTGTACGGATAAATTTACAGACTCAAGACCAACCAATGATGTGTGTCAACTTCAGAGTTTGCACTGATTTAACTAAATCAGTTCGTATACTGTTTTAAGTTATATCAGTGCAACCTGTGTATGTAGACAAGCCCTGAATTTCAGCTGACAGCAAATTTCAGCATTCTCCCCTCATCTACGTAAAATGAGTTGAGAATTGAAGCATTAGTAAACATGCGCAAAAAACACCATGTTGCACAGTTTTCACGATTAGTTGATTACTCAAGGGAGAAATGCTGGACTGGAAAAGACGGGGAGCCACAGTGCAGGACTAAGGCGCACAGGTAGAAATGTATGTGGGAGACTGCACAGCACCTGCCTCCACTTAGACTAGTGTCAGGCAATGTGCTCAGTGCCTTATTTTCAAGTTCAGACAAAAATCAAAAAAAGAAAAGATGTAAAGGGACACTAGGGATGCCAAACTTTCACAGCATAACATTGGTAGAGGCCCCAATTCAGAAAAAGACCTAAGCATCTGCTTAATTTTAAGTACATGCTTAAATCCCACTGACTTCAGTGGACTTAAGCACATAAGTGCTGGCCCCAGGAGGGGTGCTTTCCTGAATTGAGACCAAATGATGCTACCCACCCCCAAAGCAAGCAGGAAATATTAAAAATAAAACAAATAATATAGGTCCAAATTCTTGAATCCTCATTTGAGGCAAACTTCCAGTTGAAGTCAATGGGAATTTTGCCTAAGGACAAAACAATGGGCAGGCTTTAGCAAAGGGCAGCACAAGGCCTATGAGTCACTTAAATCCCATTCAGGCCCTGTGGGGGTGTAAGTAGTTCATAGGTTTTCTACTGGGCCTCTGCACAGGGATGAACTTCAGCCCACAGCCCTTGTATTACAAACCGCATTCTTGATATTTCTATGATGTTCTGTCTACCAGCAATCTAAAATGCAGATAAATCATATTTGTGAAACTCTTACCTCCGATGGTACAAATATATCACAGGAAAATAAAAGAAATGTTTCTGTTTCCTGCATTTCCCCTGGTTCCACCAGCAGTTAACTGCCACAAACAGCACCTGCAGAACAGACCAAAGGTACAAAACACATCACCACAACTTTCTCTACCCTATGCCGATCGGCTGTTTGCTGCAACCCTCTTCCTCCCCTGCCCTCCAAAATCTCTTCATCTCAGGTTCATTCCACAACTGCCCCTCTTACCATCTTTTCTATTCCCCTCCACCTTTCCCTGCTATGTCCCCTCTCTCTTCACTTTTCTTTCCATTTATCTTATCTTCTCCTAACTAAATCCATACACACACACAAATAAAAATAAAACAAAAATAAAACAAAAATCAAGAAACTGACATAACATTTGCTGCCATCATATGTGCACTCTTTTATTATACACCTTCTCCCATTCTTTGTCTTGTCTAGCTAGATTGTAAGCTCTTCAGGGCAAAGACTGTTCACTGTGTTTGTACATTATGCCATTCTTGACTGGTCTTTAATAATTAACTGTATCAAATAAAAATTTCAAACATAATTACCAAAATCCAAGATAGATGTGGTATGTGATTTCCTGTTTCTTTTCTGAAAAATGCTGTGCGCTAGTTTTTTACTTCTATAACTGGTCAAACAACCTGACTGATTCAGAGGAGCACCAACTGAAGTTTCCAAAAAGGTGAAATACACTCTTTTAAAAAAAAAAACAACCTATCTCTTGGTGTTTGGAAAGGCAGAAAGGGAATGATCCAAAGCAAGAAGGAACTGGATTTTAGGTATTGATATTGTTTTCAGTTTAAGTAAATTTAGAAATGGTGACTCATTTCTAGACCATTCTGAGCAGAGTAGAAAGGTAGTAATTAAACTTAAAAAAAAAAATAGAAGAAAGAGCACTCAACTGGAAGGGAAGCATACATAAGAAGACGTTAGTACGTATTAAAAGTGTTTTGCACATAACCAACACAATCACTGGCTGGTTTTCAGTCAAGCTGACCAGACCCTCATTGTGTTTACCTGGTTCTGTTCATTATAGTTAAGGTTAAACAAGGTTTCCATTTTAAACCACTTCTTTCTTTTCATATGATATTCATTTCAGGAAAAATTCACCTCTTGGAGCTCAAATTTTCAAGGCTTAGTATGCTGAAAGTTTAAACAAATGTCCAAAATCCCTTCCTCATAATGAAACCTCCTTTGTGACTTCTCTAGGGAATAGGAGAACCACACTGTCTCTCCACTATCTTGAAGGCACAGAGGTTGCGTCTAGAAAAATACGCACTTGGGAGATTGTTTCAGTCACACACGCATGATTAAAACCCTTCAGAAAAAGTCCAGAGCACTCTCTCACCCTTCCCCCAAAATTAAGGCGCACGTGAGCCCAAGTTACCAGTTCTACACTACAGGCCTTACAGCAGCACAGCTCTACTGCTTCAGCAGTGCTGCTGTAAGCTCTTCTGTGTAGTCTAACTATGCTGACGGGAGAGAGCTCTCCTGCTGGCATAATTAAACCACCCTAAACGAGTGCCAGTAGCTATGTCTGCGAGAAAGCATCTCTCGCCAACATAACACTAGTCACACCGGCGCTTTTGTTGGTGAAACTTATGTCGGTCAGTGGCTATTTTTTTCCACATCCCAACCAACAAAAGTTTTGCCAACAAAAGTGCTGGTGTAGACAAAGCCTTAAGTCTGTAGTAATTTGCACTCATTTCCCATGCTGTGGCATGAAACCCACTGATAGGAGTTTTAGGACAGCTGTAGGCATGAAGTGTCCAGAAGCTGGGCAGCAGTGTAAAGACAGAGGGACCTCTATATGGATGCCTATCCCGCCAGTGGATCCCATAGGATTCAAGCGTTTGGGACGTAAGGAGCTGCCACTTCTGCACAAAGGCAACCCCAGCCCTGTTTTCAAGAATAATGAGAAAATTCTACTTGTTGAATTTCACACAGTTCCCCTCCTAGAAGTGGGAATAACACAAATGTGAGAGAATGGGGACCATGGCTTTTCTGCATTTAATTTAAAAATGAAGAGGACAGGCTAAACATAAGCATCCAGGTCCCACTGACTTCCCATGGGATGCTCAGAGAAAGGCAGTGTTTGGAAATGAATGAAGGTCAACTAAGCCATTTTTTAATCAACATCTTTACTGGAATTACCTGATCTGCCAACCTGCTTGCCACTTGTTCAATTTCTTCCCTTGCTGCAATGGACTGTCCACACCATGGGGCATAGAAAAAATATAGTACAACTTCAGAATCTTGGCGAATGTAATCTGCATAGTCCAGTTGCCCCCGAAAAAGATCAAGGACTGGAGATTTTGAGGAGAAGAAATTAACTGGAACCTTCGCTGCCATTGTTACATCTTTTGCTCGGCTAAGGGAAAGAAAATAAAAGTACTTAGACAACATAATACAGCAGCAAAAAAAAAAATGTAAACATTCCAAAACACTTGTTTACTGACACCTAGCAAAGGTTATGCAATGACAAAAATCTTCAAAATTGATGCAAATGACAAAAATTTATATTACCTGGGTTAGTTCTATGACATGTCATAAAACATAGGCTTTAAGAAATAAGCACAAGAATATGTCTGATAGTGTATTATATTGTAGTGGTAATGGGGGTTAATTCAGGAGTGTGTCAGTGGGCTCATATCTTTATAGGTTGTTTGGACCTCACAGACACTTGAGAGAAAATTTGGTGTACTTTTTATGAATTTTTTGAGAAATTAAACAAGCAAATATAAAGCTAACTAATTTGCTACACTTCCCTAAGACACTAAACAACGCAATGATCAAATTGAGGTTATAATGGAGATCAGATGAATTAATCAAGGAACTGACAACAGTATAAACTTGTATTAATAACTTACCTGACCAAATTATTGCATGAACACAATCAATAATCAAATTATGAAACCAATATAGCACAGAATGAATCCTAATAGACACAAACCCTTAAATTGTCAAAGGAGGAATAGCATCTCTCTTTAGCATGAGAAATAACCAGCATAAGAGGTTTATTTGGAATTCTTCCCTGGCCTCCTCCTGTTTTAACTTTTGTACCTTAGGTGATACAGACACTAGTCAACGTTTTGTGATGTAAAATAACAGCTATGTCTGTAAAAATATTACAGTTAGCTAGTCTTCTAAATGTTCGATATTTCTTTATTCTATGTTGTATTATGAAGGAGTAATTAATACGTTTTACTTATTACAACTTTATATTTTGTAAAATGTTTGCTATAGCTTATTTCATTGCAAACTCAGAACTAATCATTAAAGAGGCCAAAATTCATTCAGGGCAAAACAGACACGTCTCCTTTTAAATGTGAAGGTACTGTCAGGGCATAAATCTTATTTAAAGAAAATAACAGTCACCAGGACAAATTCACTTTCTTAAGGAGAACTGGGTTTGACCCAAAATACCATTTTAAATGGAGTAAAAATACATAGCAAACTGTTCTCTCAGCAAACAACCAAGCAATCTAATCACAGAACTGGGTTCTCTCATCCCTTCCTCTTATATTGACAAATCTCTATTTAAAATGTACATTACACTTTCTCTTATTTGGGATTCATTCTAGAATAAAGTTTATACTGAGCAATGATTAATTTGCAAAACCTTACTTTTATAAGAATTAAAAAAAGAAACACACAAGTAGAATATTAAAGATAAGAAAAAGCACGCTAGAGTTTACTGTCAGCTCATACCTTTAACTAAAATGGAAAACCTTTTCTATTTATCCCATAATACTTATACTACTTTGTGTTGTCCGTGATGATTTGTAAGTTATTCTTTTGATTGCAAGTGTTTCATTTCTAAAAAAAAGCATTCCTCATTAAACAGTATTAAGGAATTATAAAGTAGAAAATGACATACTTTAGCTAAAAACAAAGTACCAAAATTTTATGTTACATCTGCTTAGAGTTTTTGTTATTGAAAACTTCAGAAGCTGCTTGAATAAACAGATATTTATATTAACAGGGGAATTAATTGCTGTTCTAATGCAACTAACTCACCATACTTAGAAAGATGCAAAAACGGTTCTGAAAGATGGTTTCATATAAGAAGCTACATTTTGGAGAGACTATTTTAATAGTAGACTAATAACTCAGTAATGCTGATTTAAACCAGCTGGGATTCTATCCCTACGTGCTTATACTTGTTCAAAAAAGCACTTCAAGTACCCAAATATTTTTGGAACTAAACTAACATTCAGAAAATGGACTGAAGACAAATGTTAGGTATTCAAAGAGATCTTAAAAGCCATTTTTATCAAGAAACAGCATTACAAATGTTGACATGAACTGATGAATCCTATTACATAGACATGAGCCAAAGAAGCGACTGAGTCCAGCACATATGGCGATAAACCAGTAAAGAAGTGATTAACAAAATCTCTTAAGAGATGTATTAACTTTGAGAAAGTGGTTAAAAATTGCCTTCACATCTGTTGCAATTTACAACACAGACACTAACTCCACACCAGAGGACTAAACACACACAGTGAAGAAAGACAGAGAAACGCATTACAGAATGAGAGATGTTCAGAGCAAAAGCAGCAGTACCTGCAGCCCACAGCAAGGAACAGCAAGAACCCAAAAGCCAGGAAGAAAAATTAAACCCTGCAAGATTCCATCACCAACCCTAAAGTTTCAGTTAATGCATGCAGCATTGCATAAACACTGACAAGGTTTAGGTTAACTTTATTACTGAAATTTATTTTACTTCAGTATTGACATATTGTTGGATCTTGACGTTTATTAATAGCTTCTTTCGTTAAACTCTGAATACCTGAACACCATATTCTTGGTATTGCTGACCAAGCTATACCTTTTAATTTAAGATCCTTGGACTGGGTCTTCAGTTGATGTAAATCAGCATAGTTCTACTAACTTCAATAGAGCTATGCTGATTTATAACTGAGGATCTGTCCTCAATTTTAATTAACTACCTGTCACAGATCACTCATTAAATGAAGTTAGGGTTTAAAAGAGATTTTAAATTGAGATTTTAAGCAAATACTATTAAAGTGGGTTATTTTAAATGATTGAATAAAAGCTCTCCTTTCAGTTACTGAATTTCATACTATTTACCATTGTCTATTCATAAACTGATTTAGTTGATCTGTGATAAAATAAACAGGATTCACCTACCTTTAAACCAGAGGTGAAAGTAAGCCAGTCCAGTCCGGTACGCCGTGCCGAACTGGACCGGCTTCTCCAGCAGTGATTTAAAGGGCCCAGAGCTCCAGCCACTGCGGGGAGCCCCGGGCCTTTTAAAGCGCCACCCGAGCCCCTTTAAATCACTGCCGGAGCCCTGCTGCCGCTGCCCCGGGGTAGCAGCGGCAGGGCTCTGGCGGTGATTTAAAGGGCCCGTGGCTCCCTGCAGTTGCAGGAGCACCGGACCCTTTAAATCCCCACCCGAGCCCGGCTGCAGGAGCCCTGGGGCTCCGGCAGCGATTTAAAGGGCCTGGGGCTCCGGCCGCTGCGGGGAGCCTGGGTCCTTTAAATCCCTGCACGAGTCCGGCTGCCGGGGCCCCAGGACTCCGGCAGCTGGGCTCGGCCGGGGATTTAAAGGGCCCGGTGCTCCTGCCACTGCAGGGAGCCCGGGGCCCTTTAAAGCGCCGCCGGAGGTCTGGCAGCGGGGCTCGGGCGGCACTTTAAAGGGCCCGGGGCTCCCCACAGGGGCCGGAGCTCCGGGCCCTTTAAATCCCTGCCCAAGCCTGGCTCCCAGAGCCCCGGGGACCCGGCAGCTGGGCTCCGGAGGGGATTTAAAGGGCCCCGAGCCTCCCCGCAGCAGCCGGAGCCCCAGGGCCTTTAAATCTTGAAAGGCCCCGCCTCTTCCGGTTGAGGCCACACCCCCGCTCAGTACTCCAGCGTACCGGTAAGTCTTTTAAGGTACTTTCACCCCTGCTTTAAACAATCTTTCTTTTCCATCAACACTCTGTCAGGATTATCTGTGATAAATACACATGGTCCTCCTATTATTTTTGGGGTATATTAACTTCTGCTTTAGCTTTCCTACAGAAGAATGTTCCCTACAGGAAGCTGATCTCACTCAGGTAGAAGATGCAATCTCTTATTAGAAACTGTCCATAAGAGAGACATAACAAAAGAGATAGAAGTGGAACTGAACACACGTTTTAGGTTTTTCTGTTTTTCTGATAGAATAAATAGCATTAATAACTACTGTCCAGAAACTGTCACATATAGCGCCCGGATCCTGCAAAAACTGCATATGCTCAACTTTACTACTTGCGTACCCAGACTGTTCACGATCATAAAATGAAGCACGTTCGTAAGTATTTGCAAGATTGTGGCCTAGATTCCTACTATACTGTAAGAATTCTCAGGGTCAGATTCTCTCTCTTTTACGTTGGCTTAAATACAAAATAAATGTACTGAGTTACTACAGATTTACACTGGTATAAATCAGATCGGAATCTGGCCTGTAAAGTTGTCTTTCTTGCCCAAGTCATGGTATCCCCTAAGCTATTAATGCACATCTAATATCATGATGAAAAACAACTATTAGTAATTAAGCCTAGCTGTTCTTTGTTTCTCCAGGCCACAATTTTAGTAACCCTGGAATAAAATTATTTTGCCCTCAACACACTAACATGCATAAAAAACCCTTTTCATGATCACAATTACTCTGCAAAAATGTTGAGGTTTTTTTAGCACTTCAAGACTACACTCACTTTGACCTGTCAAAAGTGTATGAATGGTTCTGCCTGCTTTTATGAAACAGATCCTACATTTTCTGGGCAGGACTGTGGCTCTTCACTCATTTGTACACAATATTGGAGTTCAATATTTAGTAATAATCCTCAGTAAAATATTCTAAAATTATGGGAATCCTAAATTTTTATTTAAAAGAAAGTTTTAGGCTTTAGAATTCCAAAAGGTTTGGAATTTTAAACAAAAACTTTACAAAATTCAGATTAATGGCCACATATAAGAATCTAAATAGAAGATGTCTTTACTATGAAACATATTAACTGATAAGATTGCTCTCTTCAAATGGGGTGCAGGAAAGGTTTTAAACTGTGAGACAATTTAAAATATCACTAATAAAGGAATAATATTTGGCCAGCCTCCAATTGAGGGTGGAGGAGAAAGAGTAAATAAAAAAAAGAAAAAAAATCAATGAAGGAAGTTATGGTCCAGCAGCTTTTATAGTGATTTTCTCTAACGTAACTCCTCATGGGCTTCTGAATACATAACTTCTATTTGCTCTCAATTTTAACCATTTCCAAACTACTCGAGGGAAAAGGAGAGCCAGGATCCACAACCATTTCTGCATCAAAAGGGTAACAATAAATGCTAGTACCAATGTGAGGGTGTAAGTGAATGGTTGGACCTGAA